TCCCCCCCCCCCCCCCCCCCCCAAGACCCCCAGAGTAACCCTGGTCACCTCAGGGTACCCCCAGGCCTCTGCGGGGTCCCCAGAGCCCCTCAGGCCCCCAGGCTCACTTTGGTCTCCCCAAGACCACCCCATAAATGCCCACCTGGAGCCTCCCAAATCCCCCCCCTTCCAGGGCCCCCAAGCCCGCTTGGAGCTCCCCGAGGACCTTCACCCACCTGGATGTGACACTCGGCCACAAAGTGGAGCTGGGCAAGGAGGGTCCTGAGCAGGGGCGCCAAATCCTTCCCTGCCACCCCTAACATTCGCTGCAGAGCCAGTGCCCCGAAGTGAAGGCCCCAGAGATCAGAGCAGCTGCTGTCCTGGGGGTCCAGGGGAGTTCGGGATTTTTGGGGACACAGGTTAGGGGTCAAAGGTGTCAGGGGGTGCAGGAAGAGAGGAGGATTCAGGGGGCACACGTGGAATTCCGGGGGTTCTCACTCACTGGCTCCAGGTTGCTGGGCATCGCCACAGGGTAGTCGAGGAGCAGCCAGGGGGTCTGTGGGAGGGGTCAGGGGGTCCCCAAAAACAGCCCAGAGGTCTGAGGGGGCGCTCAGGTGGTCCCCAACGACCCTTTGGGGGTGAAGGGGTGCAGTCAGGGGGTTTTCGGGACCGAGGGTGGGGCCTTCCCTGGGAAATGAGGGAGTTTGGGGGGGGGTGGAGTGCAGGGGAATCCTTTGGGTCTCGGGGGCATCTGGGAAGTCCCGTGAGGACCCCGGAGGTCCAGAGGCATACCAGGGTGCCCGGGAGGGGGTCCTGGAGGCGGGAGTCTCACCAGGTTGTTCAGGTGGGCGCTGAAGGTGCTGCTGATGGGGTTAAAGCCAAAGGAGCAGCAGCTGCTGGGAGTGGACACGGCCAGAAGGAGCAGCAGTGGCACCTGGGGGGGGGCACCGGGGGGTTCTGGGAGTCCCAAGGGGCTCTCATGGGGGTCCCAGAAGGGCGCAGGTCAAATCTCGAGGAGGGGGATCCCCACTTACCAGAGCAGAGCTGGGGGGGAGAAAGTCCATGGCGGTGCAGAGCTGGGGATGGCGCACCGAGAACCGCGAGCGCTCCCGGAGGCACCCCCGGGACCACCCCCGGGACCCCTCGGGCCGCGGCGAAGCCGCAGCCGAAAGCGAAACTGGGACCGAGCCGGGAGGGAGCCCAGGAAACCCGAGGGTGCAGCGGGACGTCCTGAGCCTCCTCCTCCCTCCCCGTGGACCCCAGGCCGCACCTTCCTCACCCCGGGGAGGGCGCCGCGAATCCCACGGAGGCTCCGGCGCTCGGGACCCCCTGCCCGGCCCCGCAGAGCTTTGGGTGCGGCTGCCCCGAGCGAAGGAGGGGGGCCCGGGCGTCCGGGCACGTGCGGGGGCGTGGCACCCCCAAACCCAGCCCGAGACCCCTCCCCGCCCCCCTCCAAACAGAGACACGGCAGCAGCTGCGGCTCCGAGCGGTTTATTGGGCTGGGGGTCGCGGGGCTGGGGGCACAGTGTGAGGTCTGAAACCCCCGTAGGTTTGGGGGGTTCTGGGGGGTGTCTCAGGGACCGCCCCCCGGCAGCCAAAGGCAGTGGGGGCGGGTGCAGCGCAGCTCCAGCTCCCGCTCGGCTCCGGGGGGGGGGCCCTGCCCCGGAGCCCCCAGGAGTCCCGCCGGGACCCCCCAAACGCGTGGGACGCTCACGACAGAGGCCCAGTCGCAATCCTGGGTGGGTGGACACAAGAGGGGACAGCTGCGGACAGTCGGGGTGGTATCCCCCCTCACCCCAAATCGCTGCCACAGCAGGCGTCCCATGGCTTGGGAGCCCCAAAACGTCACAGCGATCCACCCAGTGTCACTGCCCACCCTCCCCACGTCCTCACATTCTGTTCTCCCCACGGCATTTTCCCCAGTGCCTCTCCACTCACCGCGTCGCCCCCGCAGAGCCAGAGCCCGTCCGGGTGCTGTCGCGCCAGGTGGGATCCGGACCGCCGGGAGTTCCCGGCAAGCACCGTCAGGGCACCCCCCGGGAGCCCCGCGGCCAGCAGAGCCTGAGGACACAGGGAAAGGGGGGAGTGTCACCGAGGGGGGGTCCTAGGGTGATGGAAGGGGTCATAGACCGCCCCGGAGAGTTTCAGGGGGGCACATGGGGGCTTCTGGGGGTCGCGGGGAGGCACACAGAGGCTTATAGGGGGAGCACATGGGGGGGATCACAGGGAGGCACTCGGGGGTCCCTGTGGGTTGCAGTGGGAAGGTGACACAGTGGGGGTCACCCAGGGATTCCTGGGGTGGCACAGGTGACGCTCGGGGGGACAGCACGGGGGTCCCGCGGTTCCGCACCTTCCGCAGCCGTTGTGCGGGACCGACGCCGCCAGGGGGCGCTACCACCACGACACAGTTTCCGAGCGCCAGCGCCGGGAGGAGAAGCTGCAGCTCCAGGGGGCGGGGCCATCCCCAGGCCACGCCCAACACGCCGAGCGGCCGTCGCGTCAGCAGGGCCCGCCCCCCGGGCACGTCCTGCAGCGGGATTGGTCACGCCCACTCCCGAACACCGGCCCCTTCGCTGCCCCCCCCCCTCCCGGTCCCACCGGCTTAACCACGCCCACCTGCACGGCCCCGCCTGCGCGCTCCGCGCGCGCCGCCCAGCGCAGCAGCGCCCTCTGCGAGCTCCCGTCGGTATCGCCGGTGTCGCCGTCCTCGGGGCTCCCGTGTCCCGCCCCCAGCGCCGCCGACGCCCCCCGCAACACCCGGGCCCGCGACGCCCCCGGCAGCCGCCCCCAGCTGCGGGAGTCGGGGGCGTTGAGGACCGACCCCCTCTCTCCAAGGGGTCCCATCGTCGGGGACGCCCCTGAAAGGGCCACCCCCGACCCCAGTCACTCACCCTGGGGCAGCCCCTCGGGCGGCGCTCACGGCCTGAGCCAGCTCAGGATAGCCGGGGTCATCCGTGGTCACCAATGGGCTGGGACAGGGATAGGACACAGGAGGTCAAAGGGCATCGCTATGGGAGGGAACCGGCGGGGCACCGGGACCCCTGGGACAGGAAGAATCGGGGTCCTGAGGAGAACACGGGACCCTCTGGGGGGACAGGATGGGGCTGGGGCCACCCGGGGGGAAGAAAGGGGTCCTATGGCTGTTAAACAGGGGTCCCAGTGAAGTCTCTGCCTCAGAGTTCTTGTCCTGGGACCCCTTAATTTTGGGTCCCCATCCTGGAGAGGGGTCCCTGTTCCATCAGGGGGTACCTGAGCGGCTCATCCACCTTGGGGAGGTGTTCCCAGGGGGGGCACCCGAACTCTCGCAGCGCCTGGAGGGAGTTGGGGGGGAGCAGAGCCCATCTGAAACGGCACAGGACCACCCCACCCCGGGAACCCCAAAACCCGCCCCACTCCCCCCTAATCCATTCAGGACCCACCCCAGGAGACCTCTACATCCCTTCAGCTTCTCCAGGGCTCCCCCAAACCCCCCTGGACCCCTCCCAAACCACCCAGGACTCCCTCCAGGGCCCACTTGGGACCCCCACCTCATCCAGGTCAGTGTCTGTGGCCCCCCCAGCGCAGCCCCCGCTGGGGTCCAGCAGGTCCAGGGCGTTGAGCCACACTAGCCCCTGGGGCAGCCTAGAGAGGGGTCAGCGCTCAGTGCTCAGCAGCCACTCCTGGGTTCAGGGGTCAGGAGGGCTCACAGTCACCTGTCCGCCGTGTCCAAGGCCACGGTGATGTCCTGGGCCCAGACAGCAGCAGCTGCGGTTTGGGGCAGTGCTGAGGCCACGGCCACGGCCTCAGTGGGGCCACGCACGGGCAGCAGCACCAGCAGTGGCCCTGGGGCCTGGCAGGGCAGGGGACACTCAGAGGAGCCCTGAAAAGCACCCCTGGGCACCCCCCCAACCCAGCTCATCCAGGGGCACCCACCGGCTCCCGCAGGCAGCACAAGGTGGGGGCCACCCCTGAGATCAGCGTTGGGGGGTAGAAACGATGGCCCCCCGCCGGCAGTGGTGGCAGTGCAGCCTGGAAAACCTGGGTAGAAAAAAAACAGGGGTGTCCAATGAGCAGGACCCCCGAAATGCCACCTGGGGCATCCCCAAACTGCCCTCGGGGGACTCCCAAAGGCCCTCACAGCTGGTCCCAACATCCAGGAACCCCCAAACCCACCCAGGGAACCCTGATGTCCAGGAACCCCCAAATTTCTCCCCAGGAGACATCTCAAACTCTCCCCCAGGGGACCCCAATGTCCAGGAACTCTCAAACTCAACCCCAACATCTGGAAACCCCCAAACACCACGTGTCTCTCCCCACCTTCCCAACCCCTTTGTGTCACCCCAATGTCCCCATGGCCACCCCGTCCCCAGCCCCCTTTGTGCATCCCCTCACCTGAGCCCCCTCCTCCTGCGCCTCCTGCACCACCCCCTCAGGCAGGCAGGTCCCAGGGGGCAGCGGCCCCACCTCCGTTTTCGGGTCCATAGGGTCCCCAAGCCGCAGCCCCCTGAGCCGGGCCCGGAGCCGCCGCTCCAGCGCTGCTCCCACCGCATCCTGAGCCAGCACCACGCACCCCCCCCACGGGAACTGGGGACATGGTGGGGATACATCAGAGCAGCCTGGGACACTCCAGGGACTCCCCTGAAAAACCCACAACCCGCCCCCCCCCAAAAAAAAATCCCAAAAAACCCCCACAAAACCCCCCTGGAACTCCCAAAATAACCCCCCAAAACCCCCTGAAACCTGCCCAGAAAGCCATCATAAAAAACCCTGAGAAACCCCTAACCCCCCCCAAAAAAACCCCTGAAACTCCCCCCCCAAAAAAACCCCAAAACCTCCCGACAGCCCCTGGGACTCCCCAAGCCCCACCAGCACCGGGGGGGTGGCAGCAGTGGCAGCGATGGCGGCGGCCGCACTGTCCAGGTCGGCCGAGTCAAGGACGATGACAACGATGCGGCCCCCGCAGGGACCCCCCAGGCGTGGCCCCCGGCACGGGGACCCCCAAACCAGGGCCTGCAGCTCCTCCTGGAGAACAGGGGACAGTGCATAGGGACATGCCCAGGGACCCCCAAACTGAGTGAGGGCAGGGGGCAGCGCCAGCCCCTGCCGTTGTCACCTCCCAGTGCTGTGATATGGCTGTACCTGGGGGACTCCGAGGAAGGTGACAGAGGTGACTTCGGAGTGGGCACGCAGGGCCTGGCACAGCTCTGGGGGTCCTGCCAGGACGTTGATGACCCCGGGAGGCAGCGCCGCTCCCTCCCTGCTGAGCTCCCCCAGCAGCAGCAGCGGCAGAGCTGCAGCCGGAGGGGACAACACCAGAGCCGTGTTCCCTGCGGGGACACCCCAAAGCTGCTGGGATTGCCCACAGGAATATTGGGGAGCCTCCCACACCTGGATCCACCTTTGTCCTGTGGATCCCCCCCTTGTTCCCTGGATTGTCAGTTGTCCCCAACTGTCCCCCCCACTCCACTCACCCATGGCCAGGAGCGGCCCCAATTTCCAGAGCAATGCTGGCAGCGAGCAGGGACCCCCCAGGACCACGGCCACCACCCCTGGGGGGACACACAGGGGGTCAGGGAATGTTTGGAGAGGACAAGGTACACTGTGGGGACGGGGCCACTCACCCATGGGGGTCCAGCCCTCCAGGCCAGGGAGGCCAAGCTGGGCCCCTGCCGCAGGCACCTGGAGCAGCCGCAGCCCCAAGTCCAGGTCAGCTCCGAGGGTCCGGCAGAGCGGCCTCCCCCCAGCCAGGGCCAGCAGGGCCCCCATTGTCGCCCTCCGGTCACCTTCCAACGTGGCAGCCAGCCTGGGGGGCACCGGGGACATAGCAGGGACAACGGGAGGACACAGAGGGGACATCGGGGATGGGAGCCATGGGAAGATCAGGGGGTGATGAGAGGGGTTTGGGGTCACTCCAAGTCACCTGGGGTCACACTGCCACAGGAGATGGAGGGAACAGGGACAGGTCAAAGGTCACCCAAAGGGTGCAGAGGAGGTCACCAGGGGTCATGGGGTAACTCACCGGGTCAGGCACTGCCCCCGCTGCGGCGCCGCCAGCCCTGCCCAGGCCTTGGCCGCTGCTGCCGCCGCCGCCACAGCCACGGCCAGGTCTGAACTGTCCCCTGCTGGCACCACTGCCACCGTCCGGCCTGGGTACAGACAGGGTGTGACAGGAGCTGGCCACTGACGGCTGTCCTGACCCCAAATCCCAGCTCCAATTCCGTGGCCCTGCCCCGATCCCAGACTGCAATCCCTGACCCCTGACCCCTGACCCTGGTCGTGGTCTGGACCAGCAACCCCAAATCTGTGACCTTGACCCTTAACCCCCAACCCTTCCCCTGTCCCTGACCCCAATCCCTGTCCCCTCCCTGTACCGGTGGTGGCCTCCTGGCATTCCAGGCTTGTCCTTCCTGGTGGCTTCAGCCACGTTCCGTCCACAAAGTGTCCGAGGCTGCGGCTGTGGGACTCCAGCCATGCCTGGGTGGAGTGGGGGACACGCCTGGAACCTCCCGGCCCCAGCAGAGCTGCCCCCCGCCCTGCCCAAATGACCTTGTGGCCATGGGGGGACTTTGACCCTGAGGCACCCCAAGGGACGCTGGGCTACCCCCGTGACCCCTCCAGCCCCAGGAACCGCCCAGGACCACCCAGCGTCCCCTCAGTGTACCCGTAGTGCCCCCCAGGACACCTCCATCCCCACGGAACCCCCAAAATTGGTTCCAATTGCACCCAGATGCATCTCAAAGCCTCATTATTTTCCTCGCCTCCCCCCCCCAGACCCTTTCTCAGTTCCTCAGGAGACCCTCAAGAGTCCCCCAAGAGGCCCCCGAGATCCTCAGGGTCCCCCCAGGACCTCCAGAGCCCACCCAGGGGGACTTCCAGATCCCCCCGCACCTCTCCCGGGTTGATACCGCCGGGGATCGGCCCCTCCTCCATCGTGGCGAAGATTTTGGGGACCGGGGGAGCCCCGAGCACCGACAGAGCAGCCATGGCCGCCGAGGGGCCACCGAGACGGGGCGGGGTTGGACAGAGCGGCCCCGAGACACCACCGAGACGGGGCGGGGTTGGACAGAGCGGCCCCGAGACACCACAGAGATGGGGCGGGGTTGGACAGAGCGGCCCCGAGACACCACCGAGACGGGGCGGGGTTGGACAGATCGGAATCCCTCACCCTTACCCCCAGCCCCCCCCCCCCCCCCCCCCGGAGACCACCGAGATGGGGCGGGAGTGGCCAGAGGGTCTCCGTGTAACCATGGAGACAGGGCCGCGCCGGGAGCGGAAGTGACGGAACGTGAACAAGCTGCGGCCGCGGTACGGGTGGCCCGGTGGCCTCGGTCCGTCCCGGGACTGGCGTCGTGGTGTTCGCCCCCGGATCCTCCCCCATCCCGGTCCATCAGGCCATGACGGACCCGTCGCTGCTCTCGGCCGAGCTGGAGGCGGACGAGGAGGAGGAGGCGGCGCTGCGGCGGCTCCTGCTGCAGGTGGGGGATCCTGGTCCCAGTTCCAGTCCTGATCCCGGTCCCGGTCCCGGTTCTGAAGCCCGCCCTCATTCCCGCAGGTGAACCCGGACCGTGAGGAGGCCCCGCGCCCCGGCCCCGCCCGCGCGGTCACCCCGCAGCCGGGTAAGGGGGGCTTCGGTAGATTTTGGGAAGGGCTCGGGGAGTCCCCGACCCCCCCCCAACACCGAGTCCCGTGCCCCCCCCAGGGCTGTGCGTGAAGACCCGCGCGGGTGGGGACAAAGTGTTCGTCAACGTTTGTCACTCGCCCGAGGTGCCGCCGCCCCCGCCCGTGTCCCCCCTGGGCCTCCAGAGGCTCCTGCAGGAGGCCCCTGGCCCCGACGGCGGCTTCCGGATCCCCATGAGCCTCGGGGAGCCCCACGCCGAGCTCGACCGAGGTCAGAGACCCTCCCCCGAAATTGTCCCCGAGTCCCCCATTTCCCCGGGCACCCCCACGACCAAATTCTCACCAAATCTCCTCAAATCCTGCAGGAGGCCGAGGCTGCACTGCCTACGATGTGGTGGTGAATTCGGGGTTTTTCAGGACGCTCCAGGTGAGAATCAGGATGGGGAAAGTTTGGGTCTCAGGGGAGTCTGGGGGGCTCTGACCCTCTCGGCCTCCCCCAGGCCGATCCTTTGTACCTCGAGTTCTTCCTGACCGTGGCCATGGAGGGGCTGTCGGAGAAGTATGGGGTGGAACTGGAGCCCACCGGTGAGACTGGGGGGTGCTGGGAGGTCTCAGATGGGGCTGGGGAGTCTGCCCCCCCCCACGTGACCCCCCATAACCCCTCCAGGCTGGCGGGTGCTGCGGAATCGGAAATTCCTGGGCTCCATCTCGGCCCAGAATATCCGGGCCCGGCCCCGGCCCCACATCCAGGAGCTCCCCGGGTGAGTGGGGACCCCCCCAGGACCCATCCCCAAAAACCCTGGGGCCCTCCCAGCCTGACCTGTGCCCCCCCCGCCACAGTCCCCCAGACCCCCCACAGTTCGTGGTGGTGGCTGAGCCCTCGGCCCAGGACCCGCAGGTGCTGCAGGCCCGGGTCCACCTGCCCCAGGTGGTGAGTGGGGGTAGCTGGGGAGAACTGGGAGGTGCTGGGGTTGGGTTATGGGGTTCGCCTGATTCCAGGGGGAGTTTGAGGGGCAATGGGGGCAGATTGGGAGGCTCAGGGGGCACTGGGGGGTGGGATGGGGGGGGAGTCCCATTGTCCTGGGAGGACACTGGGGGCTGTGGTAGGAAGGGTTTCCATGATCCTGGGAGGCTAGAGGGACAATGGGGGCTCCCCTAAAGCCCGACCAGGGGTTGGGGGTGCTGTGGGCGTAGCCCAACTCTGGCCCCGCCCCTTTGGGCTCCTCCCAGGAGGGCGCGGGGTCTCTCTGGCTGGGGCTGAGCGAGGAGCGGCTGCTGCTGGTTCGCCCGCCGCCAGGGGGCGCCGCCGCGGACGGGGCGGCGTGTCCGCCCGCCCGCCAGGGGGCGCTGCTGGAGCTGGGGCTGCCCCTCCCCGCCGACCCCGCGCGGTGCCGCGCGCGCTTCCACCGCCGCTCCAAGGTAACCATAGCAACCGCGGGCCGGGACACGCCCCTTTCCGGCCGGGGGACACGCCCCTCCCTGAGCACCCGGCGACCCCTCCAGGTTCTCACGGTAACGATGCCGCTGCGAGTGTGAGGGACGAGGGACCCCCCCCC